GGGCTCAGGGGGGCTCACCTCTCATAACCTCTAGACATCACTAGTGACCCTGTTTTCCAGTGATATTTTATTTATGGGCAATGCTGTCAACACAATTCTCCCGTCGTCGGGGCTGTCAGAGCGGAGTAATTGCTGTGTTGCCACCGGCGGCAATACCTCGGGGACAGACTTTTGATTTTGGCGAGTACTGGTACATGGTACGAGGCCGGCGCCAAAAAAAAAAAAACGAGCATCCTAGGGCTCCCCTCTGGGACTGCCAAATTCTCAAACTTTTTTGAACCAGTTGCCTCGATTTTGCTTTCCGACCCTTCATGACCTTGTGTTCATGTCTACCGTCCGAGGAACTGTCAAGAGAGTTTTGGGCAGCACGTTTGTCTTGGCGCACCCTCCGACGATTTCGTACTAGTACGAGTACTGTATCATACCGTATTGGAATAGGCGTGGCTTGGCGCTTTTTTAGACTTCAACGACACATTACTCGTACCGTACCAGTGCGAGTACCGTACTGGTACCGGTACCGGTATTGCATGCCAACAATTCCTTAATAAGCTGTGGGCGCTAGGGGGGAGATGTTGGGAAGGATTTTGGACCATGGTCAATCTTCAAACCTTTCACGCCTTTGGAATGTATCGAAGGGAAGGCGTGGAGCGGTATGGGTTAGGTTGCACGTTATTATGCACCAGCCTTGAAATTGTGTCATGCTCGTGTATACTGACCCGCACCGCACCGGTAGGCGAGATGCTTGCATTGGTGTCTCAGCCGAGCGGGGATCTGGTGGGGCCGTGAGTGGGGTGGATTCAGTGAAGATGACGGGCCGATCCACCCTCCTGCTGGAAAGGCAAGCAATATGTACTCGTAGCCTACGGTACTCGAGTACCGTATCATACCGGTGGTCCGGGTTACTGGTAAATTGGCTCGGGCGCCGACATCCGTGCCTTACATCCTGCTCTTGAGCACAGGTAAATCATCGGTACGATAGTCTAGGGCAAGTCGCTTTTTGTTGTATGGTATCGTACGCTAGATCTCTCCTTGCTGCACACGAGCAGTTTGCCGGTACTGTACTGTACTGTACTGTGCTCGCACGATCTCGCACCTACCACATATTTACCGTACTTTGGTCTCCCAAGTTGCGGGCTGACCAGCGAAAGAGATGGGAATGAGCAACTCGCATACACACGGCACGGTACCGGTACCGCAGATTGTGCAGTGTCTTGGGACCGGTGACCGTTGAAACGCCAGCTTACCGCGAGAATGCCGGTGGAAAACGAGGGAAACAATATGATTGTCGCCGATTTTTCCCCAGGTTTGGTCGGCGGTTGCTCGTTCCATTTTCGCTCTAGGGGGGGAACCTGGACTCTCCGCCATCCCACAATCGTACGACCAACCTCCGGCCATCAAACATCCCTCCTCAAAACACACCCCCCATCATCGCAACCAACCAAGAACATCAATCCCCCCCCTCTGTAGATACCAGAATTCTCAGCCATGTTGCGCAACACAGCCCTACGGGCCGCGAGATTGGCTGTCCCCGCTTCCCCCTCCGCCTCTGTCCTCGCCCGTAACATTCCTGCCGTTGCCGGATTCGTCCAATCCCGCAGCGCTAGTCACGCCGTATCGAACGTTACCCTCGCCGATATCGAGAAGAGATGGGAGTCCATGCCTCCAAACGAGCAGGCCGATTTATGGATGTCTTTGAGGGACAGGATGAAGGGTTCTTGGGGCGAATTGACTTTGCAGGAGAAGAAAGCCTGTAGGTTGCCCTTTCGGCCCTCCACATATTCGCGACTTGGCCTCGACCTTTCGCTCACTAACCGCTCAAATGCGAATAGCCTACTGGATCGCTTTCGGTCCCCATGGCCCCCGCGCTGTTCCCCCTGCAGATGAGAACAGGAAGGTTCTTTATTATACCCTCGTTGGTCTTGCTGCCTCGTTTGCCCTCTTCTATGGTACCCGTCTCATGGCAAGACCCACCCCAAAGACCATGAACCGGGAATGGCAAGAGCAGACCGACGAATACCTCAAGGAACAGAAGGTGGAGCCCCTTACTGGCTATGCATCACCAGATTATAAGGGCAAGGGAGTGGTAAAGAACTGATCATCATGTCTCTTGGTATCGGGTTGTGGGGGTTTTCGTGGTGGATGCGATTTAGTACCGTATTCGGGGGATGCTATTGAAACAACAAGAAAACAAAAAACAAAAAAAGGAAAGAAAAGATAAAACAGTACAGACAGATATCTTTTGTGCGAATTATCTTTTGCCTAGTCAATTACAAAGCGATCGTCGATTTCCTCTTCAGACCCCCCCCCCCCCCACCATTTCGCCCCTCTTCCTCCACCTGTATCTCCTCAACCGCTGTAAAAATTATTTTTCATGATTCTCATCTTGTTTTTCCTTCCAGGCCCTTTCTGTAAGTAGCATTGAAATAGAAGCCCTCTTGGCTTTTTTCCTAAATTATTATGATACCGTTCATTATCGGAAAATTTCTCGTGTTCGGGGCTCGGATGGGATCAGCATACAATATCGTAGTGGGGTTGGGCCCTTTTTCTCTCTTTTTTTAATTTTTTAATTTTTTATCTTTCCTTCTCGTTTTAATTGGGCTTTCCCACGATTTGTGTGCAACCAGTTAAGCCACTGACCTTCCCTGTCTTGCCTACAACCACCTCACTCCAAGCTCCTTGAAGCACCTTCACAAAACACCTCCACCATCACAATGGTTCGCAGCAGAAAACGAAAGCACGACGATACGGATGCCATCACCGTCAGTAGCCCGTCGAGAAAGGAGGTCAAGAGGTCAAAGGGTTGCCCCGACCGCCTCACGTCGGGTATCCCGACTACGAAGGGTTTGTCTCAGAGTGAGGGGAAAAGACAGGAACAACGTCACGTAGCTAACGAGCTCGGCCATGTTCAATCCTCCACTCTCCGCATCGGTGTTTGCTTGGCTCGTAAACCACCAGCTCCGGATATCTCCCAAAAGTTCGATGCCTTTGGTTCCGCCTTTGCGGAGCTCATCATAGCGGCTCCCAATATTAACATGGAGAAGCGTCTTGGTGAGGAGAAGGCGAACTTCTTTACGGCTGTGCGCACGATGTTCGAGGCCGGAGATCTGCCGTGGTTGGATGAATACATGAAGAAGGCGAGGGAGACACGAGGGAGTACCGAGAAGCCGAAGGAAACCCTGCCCGCAAGCGGAAATAATTCAACAGGACCTTTCAAGAGCGGAGTCCCCGCTTTGGCATCTACCTCTCCGTTAGCCGTAGACACAGCCCCGCTCTACTCCCCGTTGTCCTCCTGGCCTCCTCCTCTCCCGGAGATCCACAGTAACGAACTTCGCCAGCAAGCCTTTACGCATAAGTCCTTCATCAAAGGGGAAGACGCTGGCCTCCCGGGCACCGAACAGCAACACTACGAGCGTCTCGAATTTCTTGGCGACTCCTATCTCCAATCCATTACCTCCCGAATCCTCTATAACCGCTTTCCCAAACTCCGCGAGGGTCCCCTCTCCGATATGCGGCAGCAACTAGTTGCCAACAGGCCCCTCTCCACGTATGCGACCATCTACCGCTTCCACGACAAAGTTCGCGAGTCCAAGGGCCAGAACACAGCAGCGCCTGTAGCTCTGGTCCACAACTCCCGCGGGACGCTCAAGGATATGGGCGTCAACAAGACCCTCGCGGATTGCTTTGAAGCATACATAGCCGCTATCGTGCTCGATTCCCCGAACGGCGTGGACCTTGCGCAGCGCTGGCTTGCGGAATTATTCGAGCCGAAGTTGAAGGAGATGGAGATCCAGCGCGCGTCTGTTGGCCCGGTTGACAAAATGGCGAAACAAACGTTGAATACTATCGTTGGGGGGAATAGAGCTACAGTGGATTATAAATGGACCGATGGTCAAGGTGGAAATAAAGGCGGTTACTGGATTACAGTGTATCTGACTGGTTGGGGGTTTAATAAGAGGGAGATTGGATCCGGATGGGGGAATAACAAAGGGTACTATACCCCTCCCCTTGCCTTCTTTCTCCCCATAGTGCACAGGATCCATTCACCTGCCTAACATTTTGGGAAAACAGTGAAGCAACCCTCCGCGCAGCAATGAACTGCATATCCAACCCAGAGTTTTGCAAAGAGATGACTGCCATTAAGACCAAGTACCTCGGACCAAAGCCTCACCCTCTCCCACCAAGCAACGCTCCATATATCAGACAAGTCAGCCCGGAGTACATCCCGCCGGAATAATCTTCGCTCTTTCTCCCCCCAATTCTTCTTTTTCCTTCCACAAAAAAATACGGAGACACTCACTTCCGTCTGCTGATTTACATATTCTTTCACCCTTTCTCCCCCCACTGGGACTGGGATGTCCATCTTATTTTCGTCCCTGTTTGGCGCGGCGCAATTTATATATATATATATATATATAAACCCTGTTTCCCTTGGATTCGGTTCTTAGTAAAGCTCGAATCTCTTTGACCAAAGAGCACAAAAAAAGCCCCCAATTTTTGTGGCGTGCCAAATAGAGCCCTATTGTTATTATTTTATTTTATTTTCTACCTCTCCATCCTCCCCCCTCCACTTACCTACCCTTTACCTCCATCCCTTTGGTCCAATGGAGAGCCAGAGAGAGGGAGGGAAAGGGGAGAAAAAAATTATGTACCCGTTTCCAGCGTGGTGATACATTATAGGCGTTTTTTTTTTTTTTCGTTTTTCCTCGTTTGTTTTTCTGTCTAGGTGTTTCATTTCTCCTTCAGGGTCCGGGTTAGTTTATGCATTCTCCTATGATATATTCTTATATCATGAAAATTAGGGATCTGAGGGAAAGGGAGGGGGGGGGGGGGGCAGGAGGGTGGCTGTATCATAACAGTAGCAAACAGGTATTTACGATTGGGGGGATCCGAGCAGTTTATGGCAATTGAGAAATTGGAAAAATGTGAAGGTGAAGTATTCTCAGTATGATATCATTAGCACCACACTGTAGCCAACAACCAGATAATTCCACCGGTATCTATAGACTACCATCCCCATTACCGTTCTTCCGCAATATTACACCAACTTTAAGGGGTGCATAGTGTATGACAACAGTATCTATATAGCAAATGATATAAAATGTCCAATGTGAACGAAGTTTATAATTACAAGAAATGATCTTCCCTCCCACCTTATTTCACCTTCCCAACGAAACTTATGACAACACACCAGCTATATAAAGTTTGCAAAAGTATGATGAGAAAAGAAATGTAATAAGGAAAAAAGGGGGAGGGGAAAAGACAAAGATGGCATTCATTTAATTTAACAATGGCATCTAGGAACCTACCCGCTCGCGGCATACGCCGCCTCCCCAGGGCTAGGATCTGCCTCGATACCACTTTTGGCCATCTTTGCGGCGGAGCATCTAGACATTGTCGGGGAGCTATATTTATACACTTTAGTCAACGCTGCTGCCACTGCTCCGTTAGGAACAAGTATTGAGATGTGGGAACAAACCTCCTAGAGATAGCGTCCGTAAAGTAGAAGTTTTCAATAACCCTCCTCAGGGGCGCCTCACTAGCTTTAGCTCCCTTATTTGCATCCATTATCTGTACTTTATTGCCCACCGCAGCGAGGGACGAGGGCTCAACAATGCCGTAGTGCGTCAGCGCCGGAGAGATCTCCTCCATGCGAGCTCTCAACCCGGCCAAGGAATCGTAGGGCAAAGTGACGCCCAAGAACTCACTCGCTGCGCGGATGATTTTCCAGTCCTCACGAGCGACTCCCGGGAGGCTGGTTGCTGCTCTGGTTAGCTGGACGCGGCCTTCCGTGTTAACGTATGTTCCGGACTTTTCGGTGTATGCCGCGCCGGGGAGGACCACATCTGCGTATTGGGCCCCGACGTCGCCGTGATGGCCTTGGTAGACCACGAAGGCACCCTTGGGGATATCGCTGGGGGATATCTCATCGGCGCCCAGGAGCCAGATTATCTTGGGGGTGGTTTGGGAGGTCTTGGGGGAGGATGGAACGAAACCGATGTCGTAGGCCCCGGCGCGGGAGGCGGCCTAAGACTAGGTCAGAATTATGTATGGCAGCGCCTGAAGGGGTGAGGGGTCATACGCGTTGGAGAATGTTGTATCCATTCCATTCTGGGGTAATGATCTTGTCGGCGTTCTTGTCTACGAATTGGCCAATGATCTTGTAGAAGGCTTTTCCGTCTGTGTGCTCTGTGACCCCGCTGCCGACGATGACCATAGGCTTCTTGGCATTTAGCAACTTCTGGCCGAATTCGCCGGCAAGAGCATTCTTCAGGGAAGCGACGTTCTGGCCGAGATGGTTGATCTTAAATGTGCTGTCAAAGTTCTCGCCAACAAGCCCAACTTCAAGGTCAGATCGGAGCCATTGTTTCCTGATTCTAGCATTCAAAACTGCAGCCTCGTGTCTGGGATTAGTTCCCACAAGGAGGATGGCATCTGCCTCCTCTACACCGTAGATCTTAGAGTTAAATAGATAGTTGGTGCGAATATCGATACCGTGTGCCGGGGGTTGGTTTCCAAGCGGTTGGTCAAGAGCGAGATTCTCTGACCCAAGTCTATTGACCACATCTTTGAGTGCCACCAAAGACTCTACCTCAGCTAGGTGGCCGGCAATAGCTTTTACCTCATCCCCTTTGGGCTGAAGTTTCCGGAAGGCCGATGCAACTTCCCCAAGTGCTTGTTCCCAAGTAGCCGGAATGAACTTGTCGTCTCTCCTTACCAAAGGCATAGTCAATCGCTGAGTCTTGAGTCCATCACAAGCAAAACGGGTTTTATCGTTAATCCATTCCTCATTAATGTCATCATTTAATCGAGGGATAACACGCATGACTTCCATCCCCCTAGCATCCACACGGATAGCCGATCCCAAGGCATCGAGAACGTCAACTGATTCAACAGGCTTTAGCTCCCAAGGTCTCGCACGGAAAGCGTATGGCTTCGAAGTCAAAGCTCCAACAGGGCAAAGATCAATAACGTTTCCAGAGAGTTCTGAGTCGAGATTCTTCTCCAAGTAAGTACCGATTTGCATGTCGTTCCCTCTTCCAGTAGATCCGAGTTCCGGGGCACCGGCAACATCATTGGCAAACCGAATACAACGGGTACAGTGAATGCAGCGATTCATAGATGTCTTGACAAGGGGGCCAATATTTTTATCTTCCACAGCACGTTTTCCGCCAATCTCATGGAAACGGCCTCTATCGGCGCCATAGCGCATTGACTGATCTTGCAAGTCACATTCGCCTCCTTGGTCACAGATAGGGCAGTCCAGTGGGTGATTGGCAAGTAAGAATTCCATTACTCCCTCTCGAGCCTTGTGCACTAATGGAGAATTAGTTTTGACCACCATGCCAGATTGTACAGGCCTGTAATACGGTCAGCAGTCCCCCTTCCAAACCAAGATCTCATTTAACCAACCAAGCGCAAGACGCCACCGGCTTGGGCGCTCTCTCAAGCTCAACCAAACACATACGGCAATTTCCAGCAATCATCAACTTTTCCTGTTGAAGCCATCAGCCTGCTGTTCGGATATTTTGCCCCACTTTTTTCGCGAAAGAGTCGTCGAGGGGGGAGTTACATGATAGCAGTACCGAGGGATGGTAACTCCCGCCTTCTCACAAGCTTGAATCAGAGCCGCTCCCGCCTCAATTTCGACCTTTTTTCCGTCAATAGTGATTTCCACCGTGGCGGACACTCGCGGAGTGGAGGTGAAAGCCCTCCATAACACCGGTGAGGTTGTGAGAAGGCGGCCCGCAGGTTTCAGGCTCCACGATAACCTCTGCCGCATCATCGTAGATGAATTGAGGTCGGCAGAAAGGAGGGAGGGGAGATAGGGCGAACCGATAAATGAAAATGGGTGGATAGGGAGGAAACCTCAACTCGTTGTAGCGGGGCGGGACCAATGGCGACTCCGTAATACAAATCATATTATTACTAAGCTATCAAACAATAGGTTCACTGATGGTCACTCGGTACTTGGCAAATTCGTACCATTATGGAAAGACTCCACAGCGCCTGTGTAGTCTAGATTGCTCCTGGGGCCCCACGACCTGTTGTATCATATTCTATCTCGTGAGCTCTTCCACGATTCCTTCCATAAGAGCTAAACCGAGCGAAGGTTTTCATGCAAGTGCCAGAGGTAAGCCAACAGTCCAACCACAGCTTTGTTTACAATACCAGTATCACGCTAGGGTAGGTAAGTTCATTTCCCTCTATGTATGATATTAAATGACAGAATTGGCCTCGGGTCATTCTCTGGGTAAATAGCAATACTGGTTGGAGGAGAAACTTTGATAGCCAATTTCGATAATCGACTCCACTCTTAGATATGTGGTTTGTAATCATACTTTGGGATGATAAGAGGACACTATATGAGCTCTCTATGAAGCGGTTCAAATCGCGCCACGACGTATCGAGAAGGAGCACCTCTTGTTTATTATAGCATCGATCGGGAAAAGAGTAACTTATCAGATCCCCCGTGAAATCAGATTTATTCACACCCCGGGACACAGGCTAAAACTTTAGTCAAAAGAATGTTGAAAACATTCCTTAATATCAACAGTCTGAACAGGTGCAACCCAGGATAGTCCCCTATCCACTTTGTGATTTAGGGGCGAGAACACTCCCATACATCCCGTACTTCGGTATCAAACCAGACAATAGAATTTCTAGACCCATGACTCGCTATATTACTCGACTTCAATAATGGTTATCACACGAATGATTAAAATCTAAGAACGGCACTATCACCCGACTAATTTAGGCGGGGCTAATGGCTATGGAGCATATCATCATGCCTATTTGCTCGTATCATACAGGCGTCCCCAATTCTCTCAGCCACGCTCCAACAATTTTGCGGAATTTAATTAATCGTTGCATTTGTATTGAACTGGAGTTTGTAAGCAACCGAGCGCCTAACATCATCGCCCCCCCGCAAGGTGCCAAACTCCCACATTTAAACTAAAAAATACAGAGCCTTTGGGGCAAACCAGCAAGCGGACCTCAAAGTGTTGGGCTGGCATTTTTAGTCGCCCATTCACTTGAGCTCTCAGGCCTAATCCTGTAATCGTACCCTCTAGAGGGTACTCTTCAAACCCACTGCGCAGAGGCTCTGATATCGAGATAAAGTTTTTGGGCCCTCCCCCATACAAGGTTCAGTCAGCGGGCCATGTTACAGAGCAGGGTAGTGGGTAACAGCTTTGGCTGAAAAAAGGAAACCCACCTCTGCCGGGAAGAAACAACACAGGAGTGAACAGTTGAGAAAGGGCGTTCCCTATCCCGACAGGGTGAGTTATTTGCTCTTATACCGTTACCAGTGCCCGAGAAACTCACGCTCCCTTGGCCGTCAAGTATCTCTTGCCGCTGGAGACCTCCGTTCACTTCTGTGCCACCATCGAATGCAGAACCCCTAGAGGGCAAAAACACCCAGTCACGTGCAACTCAACGAGGGAGTTGCACAGAACACTCGTAGAGTAAATGAAATAAAATGTAAAATAAAAATCTGGAGTAGCACTGATATTTCTATCGACCGGTGGCGTCATACTATCAAGCAATCATAAAAATTCAAGGGCAAAAAGAGTTGATCAAGGCGAAATAATCCACGGTAAAAGTTGGGGACGAGGTGAAGAAACCGAACCCTAGGACCCACACACACACGCACACTAGTACGTATCCGGAAAAGAGCAAAAAATTAATAAGCGACAAACCTTCTTTCTCTGTCCCTCCTCCCACCTTTTAATTTCACAACGGGAAGTATCTCAACAAACACTCATTCACCTCCTCCACAAATCCTCACCTTACTATTCACGCTTTCCCTGCAGTTATCCCTTAAAGCACAAGTCACCTCGCTGCATTCCGATAAACCTCCTCCCTGTGGCAGCCGTATTTCACTCTGAATCAACAATTGATCAACCGTTACTTTGCTCGCCGCCACCTGAATCTTCCCCTCCATCGTCATACAGTATCCGTTCGAATTGACTTGCCTTAGCGTTTAGGCTTTTTCTGCAGCCACTTCAACACAGTCGGCCATTGTGGAATAACAAGCCACACCGACTGTGTCGTTGTAGCTGCTTTCCTAGGGACCCCGTGGTCCCCAAAAAAAACGGCATAATCATGAACAACTACATCGCGGTGCCTGCAGTTCCAGGCAGCACCCAACTCCGGGGGAGAAGGGAGAGCGCTGTTGCATATGTTCCGCCCCCAGCCGTACCCATAGGTCTTGCACCTCAACGCCCAGCGATGCAAGTGCCGTCTCCCCCGGTCGTTGTTACGTCCTACCCGACACCACCACCCATTCACCATATTCCTCAGGCAGCCCCTCCCCCACCACCTCCTCCGCCGCCACCGCCGGCACCTGCACAATTCTCTAGGCCGGCATATGTTGAGGTACTTCCCCGAATATCCATATGTTTATCTGTACGTTCCTAACACTTCTTTTGATCCTAGCTGCCATGGTACTCCTCCCCCGATGAACCCTTTCCAGCCAGAAGGAGGCGGCGTCCCCTTCTCAGGGATGCAGAAATTTTGACAAAAAACGTTATGAATGTCACAGACATTCCAGCCGATCTACAAGTCCAAGAAACTCCTATTGTTCCAAGATCGCAGCCAGAAGTCTCGGAATTACTTGTTCCAGAGACCACGCAACCCTCGTCTGAGATGGGATCTGTGAACCCACCTACGCCAACATCTACAGCGCCCCCATCTGCTAGCACTACTGTCGTTCAAAAGCTCGTGCCTGCGCTACCTCTAACTCCACCAGCTGTGCCCATAATAAAGTCCAAAGCCCCCAAAGCACCAAAACCAACCGAGGCCAAAGAAGCCCATATTGAGTCTCCCTCATCCACGCCTTCTTCACAAACCACTACAAAAACGGTCCCGACACCACCCGCGCCAGTTGTACCCGCCGTCCCCAAATCATGGGCCGAGCTGGTCAAGACCGCACCGGGAAAGGACACCGAAGGCGCCAGAGTAGCAGTCATTCAACCCAATGGGACATCAAACGGGAAGGCAGGGTCTATCACGCAAATTTTGAATGATTTCCAAGTTAGGCCCACCGGATCATTTACTGTTCCGTTCCTTGAACCGCGTGGCCTAGTCAATACCGGCAACATGTGCTTTATGAATGCTGTAAGTGAAATCATCCTCGTTACTCATGGGTACCAAAACTAAATGTATTGCAGGTCTTGCAAATGCTGGTTTTCTGTGGTCCTTTTTACTACTTTCTAGATTGTGTCGGAAAAGAGGCCGCTCATAGTTTCAAGAGCGAGACTCCACTGATTGACGCTATGTTTGTCATCCTAGTGGAACTTAGATTCGAATAGCTAATAGTGTATAGGATAATGTTCATGCGTGAATTTCGCGCCACCCCAATGACTGTTAAACAAGACCTAGAAGCTCTTGGAGAACCGTTCGCTCCTGAATTTCTTTACGAAGTTATACGTAACACGAAGAGCTTCGCACATATGAGGGTAAGTCCGAGCCTCAGCTGTCCAGGGCCTGGGGTATACTGATTACTAACTATTCGCAGAGAGGACACCAGCAAGATGCAGAAGAGTTCTTAGGATTTTTGTTGGACGGGCTCCATGAAGAAGCGGTCAAAATGATGATGAAATCCGATGGGAATGGCGCCTCTAGCATAAGCGGTGACTCTTCAATGGACGATACAGACGAATCCGGGTGGATGGAGGTTGGTCACAAGCAAAAGACCGCGACAACCCGCACAACTGAGATTTCAGAATCATCTATCACCAAAATATTCGGAGGAAAGCTTCGATCAGTGTTCCAAGTCCCAGCACTCAAAGCTTCCGTTACACTCGAACCATACACTCCATTACAGCTAGATATTCAAGCGCCAGAGGTCCGATCCGTGGTCGACGCTTTAAAGCATCTCACCAAGCCCGAGAAAATTCAAGGCGACTTTAAGTCACCTAAGGGCCCCAATGTTGTCGCTAAAAAGCAAGTTTTTATCGAAACCCTTCCTCCAGTCCTAATTCTGCATCTCAAACGATTCCAGTATGACAATACCGGGGGTACCCAAAAAATTTGGAAAAAAATTGGGTATCCCCTGGAGCTTCAAATCCCTCCTGAGGCTATGAGTTCAGCACAGAGAACAGGGCCATCTGCAAAATATCGGTTAATTGGGGTTGTTTACCACCACGGAAAATCGGCTAGCGGTGGTCATTATACAGTGGATGTTCTACGTCAAGATGCGAAAAATTGGATCAGACTTGATGACACTGTGATAAGGAGGATACGCTCTGAGGAGGTTGCAGTCGATGTTAAGGACCTCGGATCACACAACACATTTGACGGCGAAGAAAATGACGGTTGGGTCAACGGATGGGAGGAGGTAACGGCCAATGGGAGCGGTACTGCAAATAAGGGGGAGGGTGCCAGATACATCGGAAAGGATAGTAAGGTGGCGTATATCCTTTTCTACCAAAAGCTTTGATTTCGGAATCTTGCAAAAATGTTGTCTAGTTTTCTTGATACATTGATTTTAGTTTCTCTCTTTCTTCTCTTTTTTAAATTACTTTCTCTTTCTTTCTTTTTCACTATCTCTTCCCTATCAGCGTCATTTCTCGGGCTCTCTTTTTGGACTCCCTGATCCGGGTGTGCGACGAAGAACGGAAAATGAGCATTGAAGGGAAAAAGGTTTGGAAAAAGGTCATGGCGGTTAGGGTAGGTGCATGGTGCTTTATTTATTCCTTTTTTCCCTCCTCTTCAAATCGATCTTAACAATCGGAGTGTTCTGTGTGCGGTCATGGTATTTGGTTCCTTTTGTGATTATCTTTATTACCTTGTGTACTATGACTATTTTCCTTTTGGGGGGGACGGCCGGAGCAAGTACTCGGGCCTGTTACCGACATTATCCTTGTAAGTATGGTGGGACGATGGCACTCTCCAGGTGCCAAACAATCCTAGGGACTTGATGTCAGGGAGGGGTTTTCTGGAGCTATAGGTGGGCGAGTGGATAGAGGTGGGCGCAGTCCATTTGCATATCAAGGAGTGGCATGGATGCCAGTGCGCAATCTAACATTGATTGGCTAGTCTATAACGGCATGTATCCTGCAGTGGTCGAAGTTATCTGCGTGATATTGAGTCAGAATGGCTAGGACCATGTTTAGCAAATTCGGAATAATTAAGCCTATGGACGATGGCCCTTATTACGAGTGATCGGTCATGATGAAGTTTAGTGATCCCAAGGATGAGGGGTGGAGTGTCATAACAAATCTGGCCGGGAGTACTGTACAGCTGTATGCCCGGGATTTGGAGATGAGATGGAGGGAAGGGAAGAGATGCGGGGTTAAGCTTGTTAGAGTTCTCATCTGCGTCTGAGCGTCTTTACTCGAGTAAATTTACTTGTCCAGCATCCAGTACAGTGCGAGTACCGGTAGAGTGGAGTACCGCCACCCGCTCCATCATAGTCATTCCGGGTCAAGCGAGTCAAGCGGGTTCAAGAAACTGAGGTTAAAGTTAGACGCGGAAGTCACACCAAACATACGCATATACTCCGTAGACACACATGCGTGATGTAAAGTTCTAAGTGTTTAAGCGAGGTCCGAGGGATGGGATACATTCTACGCCAATACGCGCCCATATGTACGCCCACCCTAGTTAGTGTAAGCTCAATCCCCGGGTCCAGCTAACTTACCATACAATTGATCAATCCCCCTTCGAAAGGGCATCCTCCTCCAACCAGAACGACTTCAGAGCAGCAGGAACAGGGGGAAGGGTGCGTCGAGGGAAAAAGAAACACTCTGCCAGACGGAAAAAACACCTCAAATTAAGGATTGAAATCTCCGATCGGGATATCAGAGACATTGGGATGGTCAGTTACTGGACCAGCTCATCCACTCTACACGTAGCAGCCTCCCAGCCTATCACGCTATTCCCCTCCTATAACAATCAATAACCCCTTCCCGTCTTTCTCTCGCCGATGGCCAGTCTCTCCAAACTACATCCATCCCTCACCATGTACGGCGACTTCATCGCAAAGAACGCTGGCGCCGTCTCCCAGATCGAATCGGCACTACGGTCGCTGACCTATATCATACCAGGTAAATAAAAACGCCATCTCCCCCACAGTCCAACGCGGGCTGTCCGCTGACTGGAGAAACAGCCAGGTTTAAAGATGTGGAGTTAGCATCCGAATCGCTTCATAGCGGCATTCAGATACTTTCGCTTTACCATGACTCGCTTCTGGCTCGCGCCGTCACGAAGATGCCCCTTGGCGTGCAGAAGCCGTCGCCACATAATCGGTATACCAAGTTTTGGACACAAAAGAGCCCCGGTTACAAGAAACTCGCGTTGATTGTCACCATGATACAGTATACCGAGCTACTGTGGGAGATGTCGGCTAAGAGAAGAGGACAGAAGATGCGTTGGAGAACTGTCATTATTCTGGAGGCGATTAAGTAGTCCTCCCAACAGTCTTCTTCCAACAGTACCAAATAGTAACATGAAAACAGAGCGATCTGTCGACTACTACTCCTGCGTCTAACAAACTCACGTCCACTGCTCACGCCTCCTCTTCCCGAACGGGAAATCGATCCCCAAGCACTTGAGGAAACCGTGGGTCCAGAGTCCTCTCCTCCCGAGGAGACATGGAAAATGCCACGCACCGGCCTTTGCCTCCCCTCCCTCCCCGCAACAAACCAAATCTCGCAATATCTCCTCACTAAGGTCCTCACAGCGGAGGATATCAAACCGCCATCACAGCTTCTTCACCGGATCCGCGGCACAGGCTACTACGCTGAGGTGCTCTACATAATCAGGCCCGTCATATATGCCCTTGCCATGAAGAAGTGGGCTCGGGACAAAAAATCGTGGAGGCCCTGGCTCATCGGTTTCAGTTTGGAGTATGCTGCCAGACAACTGTCGAAGAGAGACTTTGAGATGAATGTTCCCGGTGGAATGAAGGGGTTGACAGCATTGGAGAGAGAGGAGATGACTAGGAGAGCATGGGGGATGGGTTGGTGGGGTGTCAGAGGCGCATTCTATGAGAATGTTACTGGGTAAGTTTCCTTTCGCAATCCCTGCTGCAGTTATTGGAAAATTGACATGATATATAGACCCTGGTTGAAAGCAATCTCCACTAAACTAGCCGACAAGCCCGCTCTGAACCTTGTAGCGGGTCTCCTCGACGACTATCAATATCTCTGGGACAATTACTACTTCTCTACCGCAACACTATAAATTCAGCCACCAACCAGACATCTCCTATCACCCTTTAATGGCCACACAACCCACATGACTATATTTCTTTCTTATGTCCATTTGAAGATGAAAAGAGAAATCTTGAAAAGCGTATTTTGTTCCCTTCTTTTTCCCCCATGTATTTTCTATCTGTACGAGTACTTGACTAGGGCTTTTCTTTTGTTTCTGTTTTCGTTGTCACTTCTATTGCCGTTATCAATCCTTTCTTCCTTCCCCTCTCTTGTCGATCCCATGCACCCACCGCGACGGGCGACGGCTGGAAAAAGGAGGGCAGGCCTTCTTTGTTCTTTTTGCTTCGTTTCCCTCCCTTGAATTTTGGGATTATATCCATTTTGTAATTCTTTCGTGTAGCCAGAAGATGTCCCGTCTGTTATGATAAACCTCAACAATTAAGGTAATAACAAGATACCCCAAATAAAAAAAATACAAACAAGCGAGTAAAGCCTTGCGCATCCTCTTTCCAATCACAAGCTTCCAGTCTACCAATCAAATTACAATACAAGTACGATGTGATAAAAAAATAAAAATAAAAAAATATGTCCACAGCATTCCCTTCCTCCCGCACAGCCCCTCACTCGACCCACCCCACAAACCCAAACCCAACCTCCTCCCCTATGCCCCCTCCACGGTTTCCAACCCCCTCAACCCCCCAGCCCCACACAGCAGTCAAAAAATCCACCACGCACGAATAGCACCAGATATCATGCATCCACACATGACCTCCCGAGCGCCGCCGTGGATTAACAAGGAACCGCTAAAGGAAAAATTGGGAAAAAAAAGGACTCCAGCGATGGAGGTCGAGTCGGACTTGTTTATGTTAATATGATATTATCGCGGAGTATTTGGGATGTCGGCTTTGCGAGATTGGGTGTATGGTGCGGTGTGGTACGGTTTGTAACGGTTTTGGTGGGGGAAACTGATCGGGATGGACCCTCGAGTGGATGGGGATGGGGTGTGTATTGATGGATTGACATTACGCACCGTCGTCTGTGGTTGCATGCTGGCGGGTATGATAGGGTGGATGAGGGGTAAATCCGGGATCGGAGTCGAGGGGGTAATGTTTATGCTTCGTTCATCTGTTCATTCGTGCTTACATTGATTGATTGTCGCTTCATACGACATTATTCGGAGGGTTCCGACTTGGGCGGGGCAGACAAAGGAAAATAGGAAGAAGAAAAAAACTCCCAGACTAAACGAAAGAAACCGTTATGATACATTGTGCATATCAGTCCACCGTGACAAGGAATCAAAGGAAAGGGAAAAAAAATCTAAACACGCTCTACATAGCATACACCACAGCCAACCGTAACTCGCTCAATCCACCTCCATAGGATCACCTCTCCCCCCGGCACCATTAGAAACCTTACCCTTGGGTACGCTCGACTGGCAGGCCGGACAATTATACAAGGTCTCGTGACAGAACACATCACAGTCGATGCAAAAATGATTGTGGCATACCGTGCAAGCGTACCTACTCGAGACAGAGGTTCCCGTAACGGTCTTTGCCGGTGCGGAGAGTTCTTCGGGTTTCGTCGGGGGATGGGGGAATGGTATTTGGCAGGAATAGCAGTGGGTCGACTTTGATGCTCTAGAGAATAGCACAGACGGTTAGCAGAGGCTAAGGGGGAGAAGGAGACGGGGGTTTACGCTTTCCAGGGAACCTCTACCCAATTTTTTAACGGGAAAAGGTGGTGGTAGGACCTTGCAAGATGGGTGGAGAGAATGAGAGTTAAGCCGCAGGCTGGGCATTCCACTGGCAGCGCGCATACTTTTGTCGAGCAGCGGGAGCAGAGGTAGCCGCCTTTTGTCAGCTCAGAGTGGCTGGTGATACCAAAGTTAGTTGGTACCTGCGAAAGCTGGAACGAGTGATCAGACGAACCATGCACACAATGATGCTGTTTTTTCCACAACTCGGGAGGGGAACCCCATCATGAGCAGACTTGAAGCATTCATCTTCGCAGAACGTGTTACTGGGGGGATAGTTGTATCGAGCAGCAGTTCTCTGAAATGTTTATCGTCCAGAGCGACGCCGTAGACGCCTGACATTGATTAGCAGATATCACGATCCCAACTAACAAAAAGAAACTATACTCTCATCACCGGCGTTCGTCCTCTTGCACAGCTCCCGACACACAGCGACCTGAGCCGACAATCCCACAACGCTCACCCGAATCTTATCCTCAACCAACTGATTAATCGTCTGATGTATGTCCCCAGGATCCGAACTCAACAGCGCACCAAACACAATAACCACCTCCCTCGTACCGTGTGACGGCGCATGACTGTAACAATAAATAACCACTTAGCCTTTCATCTCTCCTTGTTTCATGAAACCTGAATCAACAAGTTTCGGAAATACCAACAATAACGCAGCCCTCGACATCTCCAGCGCATTCTGCAACGACGGTGCCCCCTTCCCTTCATCCAGACGGAGCTTCCCTATGGCTTCGATATGATCCACTGGATTCCCACTCAGATCACTAACCCGCACTGCAAGGCCATCCCGCATTCCCAGGACGCCGAGCTGCGAGATGGGGTTCTGTTCGAAATATTCCCGGACAAAATCGCAAGCGTACCGCAGCGAGAGTAGATAACGCGTAGGTCGGAAGTCCTTCTCCATCATCGCAGAGGAGAGGTCGAGGACAAGAATCAGGTGTCGGATAATACCTCTTTGTAGCGGAGTAGTGTCTTTCAACAGCCTAGTTCGTCAAAGACACACCCCCTCACCAATCATTAGATTTCCTTTTCTTGGAAAGAGAAAAAATAATAATAATAATAAAAAATAGTTTCTTGTCCCCTAACCTCTTCCGTTTCCCAGCTTCCAGCAATCCCGCAACGGTAGAAGACAGACTCCCGTCTTCCCCTTCAACGACGTTATCCCAAGACCTCTTAATGTCCTCCCATCGTTCTCGCTTCTGCGCACCACCGCCGGGTTTGTTGCCATTCTTTGATCGAGCTCCACCACCTCCTCCTGCTGCCGCGCCCCCAGCTCCTCGGTGACGCCCGCCCTTGCTGACGTTGTGAGCTCCGATGTCTTCGTCGTCGGTGGCGATGTAGTCTTCGTCTGAATCCGCCATTGTTCCCACCGGAAAACCCTCACACCGGCACAGAATCCTCTCCTCTCGTCAGACGGTAACAGGGACGTGGTTCGTTCGGGAGCTTGGTAAACCAGTAACAGTAGCTGTAGCAGTCGCAGCTGCCTCGTTGAAGGAAAGTTAAAATCGGGGGGGCAAGTTGCCCACGAAACTGCGGATTACGAAAGCAAAACAAGTAGACACCAGTTCGGGAATGGAAGAACTTTTATCCGATTCACCATCCTTGGATGATATGGTGGCCGTGGTTTATGGTATCATACGGGTATTTCTTGGCGGGGAATGCCCAGTTGGATGGGTAAGTGAAGCAGCAGTCCTAGCCCTACCCTACAGCAATATCCATCCCCACAACACCTAAATTGGTGGGTAGGCCGCAACTGGGCAATTCCCAACAACACGCCTTTAGTGAAAGAGCAAAAGACCCACCACAGCCCAACCTCACGTCCGTTTTCTTGTTTATCGATCGCCAACGAAGTGAGCAGCATCCCACCCTCTCTCCCTGCGAATTTTTTTTTTTAATATATAAAAAAAAACCCCACAGCGGCTGATCCAGAATTCACCCCACAGTTCTCCAAAACCAAATTCCAAAACCCTTCAAAAATGGAAAACGACAAGGGCGAGCTCTCCTTCCCCCAAAACCAATCCCTCCTTCACCCGGCCAACCAGCCAACCAACAAATTCGCTAACAAAATGTACAGGAGAACTCGTCGACCTCTATGTCCCCCGCAAGTGCAGCGCTACCAACCGCATCATCAAGGCGAAGGACCACGCATCCGTGCAGATCTCGGTCGGAAAGGTAGACGAGACCGGGCGCTACATACACGGCGAGAACACCACCTACGCGCTCTGCGGGTTCGTCAGGAGCATGGGCGAGAGCGATGACGCGCTCAACAGGCTTGCCCAGAGGGATGGACTGCTGAAGAATGTCTGGTCGGCGTCTCGTCAGCATTAGGGTGGTTGGTGAGTTTTACTCCTCTACGTGCTACTCGCTATGGGGAGGGGAAGGGAAGGGATGAATGCTGATTTGGGGGGCTCTGGGGGTGCGATGATACAGTGGTGGAGAGCTATCGGTCAAACAAAATATTAATAAAGGGATTTCCTCACCACAAAATTTGTTTCAATGTGCTATGTTTTTTTCCATATTCAAAGTTTTCGAATCCGATCTCCGTCTGCCAGCCTACCCAGCCCCTCCCAAAGCAAACAGACCCATCCATCCCATCCCCCCCCTTCTCTACTTCTCAATAATAAAAGCGGCCCCGGTACCGCCCTCTCTAACTTCCCCACAGAGAGAGGCTCACAGTACCCCCAATCACCCCCCCTTCCCCCTCCCTCCACCCCTCTCCCCGGGAACCTCCCAAAGAGCAACCATCGCACGAGTCTCTAATACGCAAGGATTCCAAAGGGTCCTTCGCTCACTCCGAGATTCCGATTCCTCCAGGGCTATTTCCTAAGGTGCGGGCGTGCGCGAGTGGAGGCGAGGCGGTGAAGGGTTTATAAACGGGAAGGAGGAGGCCGCAAGAACAAAACAAACAAAAACCTGCTGAAGAGCTGTCACGCAAAGAACATGCGTTTGAGCACAGATACGGGTCTTACATCTCATGTCAGCCGGTTTAGTAAAAAAAAGTAACCAAGGGGTTTTGTTCATTTATTAGCGTATATTCTAGCGTGACCATTGAAATCTTTAGAAAGAATGGAATGAAGTGAAGCAATGAAGAAAAAAGAAGAAAAAAAAAGAGTAACTACATATACATGCTATATCCCCATCCAACCATTCATTCACCGATGCCGTTCACGCTCCCCTATCACAAAACAGATAGCAGCCCTGAACCTTTTTTCTCACGGGGGGGCTCGGCTCGTCGTAAGCTTTTCCTCTCTTTCCTCAGCAATGAATAGGAAGAGAGCCCAGTATAAAACAAACTCCCCTCGATCCACCTCTTCCTCTCCCCAATACCGGTACTGCCAAAGCCTATTACCGCGAGTGCATACCAGTATTCCGTAAGACATTACACACCAAGACCAAGAGCCAAAAGAGCATTAATCCTCCCCCCCTCCAACACTAATACCAAATCCTAAACATGTAAACACCCCATTCCAGGCGCAAATACGGTATCCACGTCCCAGATCCATCCCGCTCCTCCGCCATGGCCAAAACCAGAAAGAAAAAAAAAACGCAAATGCAAGGCTCCCCCTTGAAGGCGAGTGAACCCAGGACGTCACGCTAGACCGGACTAGACCGAGCTAGGCCAGGAATAAACAATGAGATGAGAGATGAAAATGAGAAAATGAAAACATTAAAAACATCGAAAACAAAAAACTCCGGCATTGATGAACTTCAGCTTTCTCGCTTGTTTGCTTGCACGCTTGCCCACCAGATCATCAATCACAAACTCCTGCAAACTCCAGGACTCGCTTGCAGGAAGATTAAGACGGGTATCATAGGTAGACAGGTATCACTCGCCGCACGAGAAGGAATAAAGACATGAACGAACAAAGCAGGAACAGGACCAAAGGAGAAAAGGTTTTAGAATTTGGAGCCGTATATGGTTAATTGATTCGATTGCGGATTCGAGTTGGGCAGTGGTAGTGGTGATGGTGACGTCAAGCGGTTTGTGAGATGCTCATCCCCTTGGAATCATGCATGCATCTTCGTATGATCCGTTATCAAGATACCGCTCGCACAAACAGACAAATAAAGAAAGAAAAAAAAGAAAAAAACGAATCATGATCATGATCATCAAACCTACGCTTTTTCGCTTTTCCCCCTTTTTTGCAATTTATGGAGGAGGATAGCCCGATTCGGACATCATTGGGTTCATCGGATCATCATCTGGCCATTCGTCCTCTGTGATGCTGCTCCAGAAGAGCCAGACGGCGACTACGGCGAGCAACGTGAATAATGTCTCGAAGAAAGCGCCGTCGATCTTGCCGTTCGAGGCATCGCAAATGTGAACGCTAATAACGAAGTTGAAGATTTGGCCGATAGCGAAGAACAGCGCTGCGGCTCCCAGGCGGGCTATGATATTATCGTCAGCTCCCAACGCCCCCAAGCTGGGGTATATAAAACAGTAATTTACCCATTGGCATTACTTCTCCCAATACCCTCAGCACCAAGAAGGATTCCAGAATGAGGAAGGCAGCGATTGCTATCAGCGGGAACAGTAGGTATAGGACGTATAAGGCGTAATTCTTTGGTTCATTGATATTCTTGATAGGAAAGTTTCCCGGTTCACCAAAGCCAGTGTCCACGGCGACATATGCTGTGAAAAGACTTAGACCTCGAAGTTCAGTGCTCAACGCTAACGGATGAAATGCGCCTTACCAGTCCCGACGAAAAATGCAAGTGCAGACCCGGCCACCAGTCCCACGGATAGCGGTGTCCCATCGTCAACTAATTGGAATCCAACAACAGCGTTTAGCAACAGAACCCATGCTGTTGCTGCTATCGCGCCCAAATGAATGCCAGTAAACCACTTTAACCCCCCCCCCCAAAATCCATCAGCAACTACCCTTTCCACCAGGAAAAAAGGCTAAAATTATTCTTTTTCTCAAAACATACCACCAGCACTGTTCGATCGGTCAGGAATCCCCCGACCGTAAATACTTCCACCAGAGATACCAAAATATAGAGTATCAAGAATATTTGCATTTCCCTACATGCCGCACGCAGGCCTCGTTAAAAAGTACCCTCCCACACCCTGCGCCAGGAGTTCCGGTGGAACGCGCGTCGAGAACTAACCTTCGCCCCACTGCAGCTCTCTTCTTCTGGGATAAGAGCAGCAGTAATACCGAGACTATGATTGCAAAGGCACACAGTATTATCGAACCTGCCATTGGATACCGGGTCAGTGGCTGTGCATAAACTCAGACAATGGATCGGCCGCTTCGGTGGAACGAAGAAAGAAAAGCAAAACGGTGTTCGCTGGAAAGTGACGAACCCAGATTCCTGACGCGTCCATCGCCAGCCTTGAATCCCTCGAGCACACATTCTTTTCTCACAAAGAATAGCTAGAACCCAAGGTCAGAAACCCCCCCCTCGGTTGCAATAGAAGACGAAGAAGGTAGCCGAAGCGATGGTAGAGTAAAACGTACGTTGCATACGGGTAATGTCGAAGCTCGACAAAAGTCCTATTTGACCAAGCGCGTTGAATCAGTCATCTAAAGTCCTGTTCTCGTGCTCGTGCCATTCTCCATTTGGCGCAGTAGTAGCAATAGACGGGTGGATGAGCCAAAGAAAATACAAGACCTCACCCACCCAACCACCCATCCATTCCATTGAACCCGGAAAGAAAAGGGGACGATCGCGGGGGAGGGGAGAAACTTACATGAAAATTTCCGAACTGTGACATGATTAGAATTCCTTTCCGCGACTCTCACGACCGACCGGAGCGAGACTTGCGGGGAGGGAGGGGAGAGAGAAGGGAATGGAATGGAACGTGGAGGAGGGCGTGGAAAGGGCAGAAAGAAATGAGATGAGTAGGGCTTGAGAGAGTGTGAAAAGGCAAGGTGTTGGTTCGGTGCACCCGTCAGCGTTCCTCTCCGGTGTAGTGTACGAACGAGTACGTTAGGACGGAAGAAGGCGTCTTGGACGCTTGCAGGCTGCAGGGTACAGTACAGTACAGCGAATGGGAGGGAGGAAGGGAAAGAGTGGCTGGCCTGTTTATCGGGGGGGAAGGTTGAGGGAACTGAAAGTTGCTTAAACCTTTCCAACGAATGTGTGTGCTTTGTAGGTGGAAACTGTTGGCAGTGTCGCCGTACCGCTGTAGTCCCCCCAGCCACCGGTCCTTCCCGTCGCGGCCGTACCGGTATGGCAGCTTACCCCGGAACGATGATTTTGGTTCTGAACTCGTCTCCCCAAAAGCTTGTATCGAAACGAGCGAGTGGGATAGAGGAAACTCTGGGGGGATACCGGTAGTGGCAGTGATGCACGAAACGGAATGAACTTCAATACCGTACCGTATCATGGGATTGGCTTCCCTCGAATCTTGCTTGGTTTTGTGGCTCGCCTACCAACTCCCTCCCTTCCCTTCCCTCTTCCCCCCCCGTCCAAATTGGCTACCGGCAGATGCAGCAAACAAGGAGGGGAGGGGAGCAAATAGCTGGGATTGAGTGGAATTGAATCATTATAAAAGGCATAAGGAGAGAAGTTATTACTACTATCCTAATTATCACTGTTACGATATTACTATTACAAAAAAGTGCCGCTTACCGTAGACTTTGACCATCACCATAATTATGCTTCTCCCCATCTCTCCCTCCCCCCCTCTCTCACTCTCACTCTCTCTTACATCCTAGACCATCGCACCAGCTACCGTTACACCTTCAGGCCTCAACGAGACCGCCAGGAACCGCGGCGGGTCAAACGGGCTAGAACCTTCCCCCCGGTCTGTACGAGTACGGCCCTGAAATGTTCAATAGGACCAAGGCTATATACGGTGTCTCTCCTGCCTTGCCCAGTGTAAGACACGATTGAGTCCAACTATTCAATGGTTACTTGCCTGCTCCCCTCCTCCCTCGTTTCCTCATACAAACCTGGCTAAAACGGTTGTTCTGTTTTGCTCGTGCCCTCGTTCGATTCGCTAGAGTAAATAAGAGATCCCCCGTGTTTGTTGTGGTGTCTAGACTTCTTCCCCCAATTCTATTTTTGGGCATTCCGGTCTTGCCAATTTTGCCACAGGCAAGGTGTGGGTTGGTCTCGTCAATCAATCAAATTAGTAACGTAGAGCAGCGGTAGAGTACGAGTACCGGCACCGGTACGGTAGGCAACCACTGCACTGTTCTATTAAAATGAGCTCCATAACCCTGGCCAACGCATCCGGACCCGGAAGCCGTTCCAAACCCGTAGTATTTTACTTACCAGTACTAGTACTCGTACTGTACTCGAGTACACTATTGCTGGTATCCGTAGCGATGTCTGAGAAATATAGATTTCAGCGGACTCGGAAAATTGAGAAAACTCTCCACCTTCCAGTATACGGGTAACACCGTGCATTGTCAACCCTTCTCCTCCTTTCTCGCTCCCTCACCTGTTCTCTTGCCTGCGGCCACGGGTCCATAAATAATTGATTGCCGTAACGCCGGACAAGCCCTTCTTCACTTCGTTCGAGGGAGGGAGGAGGGAAGAGCTTCGCTGCATCAGGATTTCCCAACCTGATCTCCAATGCGTGGCGTCGTGCACCACGCACTCGGCTGCACCCGTCTGCCGTCCACGGTCCAGGCACACAGAACGGGCCCATGGCCCGCAATTGCTTGTGGCTCGCCCGCGAAACTCTTCCCCCTGTCTCAGCTCGCTTACGGTAAGAGATTTGCCATGCCACGAGCCCAATTGCCCCACCTCGCTCTCCATCTGTGGCTGGTGAGTGACCAACTCTGTTTTGTTATCAGCCCAGCACGGCAAAGGGGCTGAAGCCCACCACCCCCTGCCCGGGCGCCATGTTCCGACAATTAAACCTTTCTCGCTCCACGGAATCCACTGCTGCTGGCTCCGACAGAGGGAAGCGAGGAACAGACATTGGAGATATCCAATGCGCGCAGAATGCGCCCCAGAGCACATACGCTAACCATCTTTATTCGGGGGCCCAGTGCCGCAGGGCTGAAGGTGGAGAGTGCGGTGACTTGCTCTGATACATAACTGGGCAGCAGCTTTGTTTTGACTTTGGTTTGACCAACTTTTTTGATCTCCCTTCGTAAAAGTGTATTTTTCCCGCGATTGTTCAGACAGCATGGTACGGGAACCCCAACGTACGGTGGCTAACAGAGAAAGGGGGTAAGGGAGCACACCAGACAACATATAACAGCCCCTTACGATGGCCACGGGCGTCTACGGAGGGAACCAGCATCGCTATTAGTAGGTAGTCTCGGTACGGTAACTCTATTGGCTACACAACAGAATAGCCAACATTTGGCCATATTATCTGGATCAGTAGACTACCGTAGCGTCCATCCATCCCCCCCATCGTAACGAGCTGAACCCGTATCGCTTTTCCAATCATCGGGAGAAGGAAAATCGATCTGATGATACCCTACTCTGGCCCCCAAATATTGCACCTAGGCTTACCACGAGATTACAGTTGGGTCAGTGATATCGCCAGACCCAGGGGAAGCGACCAGGTTCGCCCGTCATAAATCCCAATCCCACCTCCTCTACCCTAGCACGTCTCTATACCGTACCCCTCCCCTCCCTACGAGTATTTCGCCAGGATTCGCCATACCTGGAGTCAGCGAATAGCATGGCTCCGGAACAATCACCCGGTAAATCTCGGCTATTCGTTAAATCCCCAGTTTACCCACGGTATCAAAGCCGTAGCGATAGGACACCGGTGCGGCACTTGTACCATACCGGTACTGGGGCGGTGGATAGATCTGCCCCCGTTGTTCCCGTATCCGAGGGCCCTTTTTATGTTCTTTCTTCGTTTTTCCCAGCTTCTGTCCTGAGTGCACCCGAGCATATCCAACACAGTGTTGTGGAAAGGATACCCTTCGCAGGGGGGTTTCACATCCATGATAGCTGAAAGAAGGTGGACAGCCTGTAACTTCTTCGGCGGATAGAACGGATGTCACAGCATGAATCTGAGGAATGCACAGGAGAATAGTCGTTGCAACCAGCCGCTCACCGTACCCGTAGTACCGTAGTCTACCCACTTTCGCCTTTAGTGGCTGGTGGTAGCAAGGTGTAACAGGACTTGTGCAAATGGGGCGATCCATTACCGTACGGGTAAAGTCACCTTTTTTTGTGGGAGGTGCGATACCGTACCGTACCTGCACGTCTGCGAGGTTCGGGAGAGGTACTGGTACCTTGCATGAATTCCAAGCATGGTCTCGGGATTTTCGAATAGTGGTACCGGTGTTGTAAATTTGCTTACTGTACTCGAGTAGGTTTGAAAGAGTAGCTTTGTAAGGGGAAAAAGAAAAGTCCCCGAAAATGATAACCGCGAGTGATTCCATGTGACGCTGAAGGGTGGTGTGTAGTACTGTACCGGTAGGGGATCGGTCCCTTGTGCTACTTGGGGGGGTATACACATATACTCGAGCACCGGTGCTGGGGAAGGGAGTGTATCAAATTTATTTGCCCGACCCCCCAGAGGTCAGAGAAATCTGAGCTCCTTTTGTAGTTTGAGACTTGTGCTATACTTTCCCTCCCCCACAACCCCCACCCGTGATCCCTCCTCGACGGTAGTTTGTATGATACGCTTCCAGGCTGTGGAATCCGGGGTCAAGCGAAGCGGTGCCTGGCCGGGCGTTACAGACGTACCAAGCACACCGGTAGTCCTTTGTCAGGAGATCAAACCAACAATGAATCCTTGATGCTGGAAAGGGGCATATGAGGACGCATACCGCTGCCGGTACCATAGGTACTCGTACAGTACCAGCGACCCAATCCCCTCGCTGTTTGTATGCTAGCACGCCGCATACCCACGTCCCCGCCGGGTTGAGGAATCGGCGTCATCATGCGCCGGTCGCTGTAGGATCTGAGTCAGGAGAAGTTCTCATAATGCTGGCTAATCTACGAGAGTTCCGTCCTTGTGCTTGATACAATGTGCGGTAGTTGGCCCTTTTAATATCTTCGGTGGATGGCTCCCAAGAACTTCTGGAGAAACGCCCCTCTTTGCTCTCCTTTCTTTCTTTCCTTCCCCCAGCGCCCGGGCCCCCGGAGATTCCTGTGGCGTGAAGGAGCGGAGTCTGAATCTACACTGGAAGGGGGAGTTACTGAAGGAGATACCGTACTGAGGGCTGGTTTGCGATCTTGACCAAGTGTTGTGTCTAGCAGGAGTAGGTGAGATTTCTTGCTGTTAATGCCCCAGAAATTCCCGTTGACCCCGACATATCATACCTTGCTCATCATAATGGCAATAGTGCTGCAGCAAGCGACCAAATCGAGCCGTCCCTGTCCCAAGGCTCGATACGGGTTGCGCACGGAGCATAATTAGTGTCTAACCCATCAAAACCACCCATCGGTAGCTACTCTCGACTGGATAATCTCGGGAGCAGAAATAGTCCCGAATTCTCCTCCTTCTTGCACCGCCGGGAAAGCCAACCGGTAATACATTGAGATACTGCGCTCATGGCATTACCGGGAACAGTGCGGTTTCATTCACAAAACCTGGGTGTAGAATGCCCCCTGAATAGAAACTAAGCGGGCCCGAATATAATAGCAGGGCAATCGGGAGCTCAGAGGGGTTTGATTCACCGGCGCTGGCGGTTTCCCTAGATCTTGACGTGGTGTTTGCTGACTTAGCCTGAATATTTACGACGTGGGCCCCCCGATGAGCTGCTCCACTTAGCCGTTCATAAATTATTAGGACGTTTAGCGCCAAGACAGATACCAACGATGCCGAAGTGTCCGAGTACTTTATATATGGCTGAGCGGTGGCTCTCGGCTGGATTTCGGATCAACCTTTTACCGAAACTTTGAGTGCTGATTCCAGGAGAATTCTAGCACATTGCGGGGACGAGCAGCGGCAAAGCCACCTACGTATATGCTTCAATAGGCAACCCACTACCGTACTATATACGTGTCTGGATCGGGCTTTGTTGTCCTGCCAACTGTCAGCTGCGTTGTTGTGTTGCATTTGCCCTGGATTTCGAGAGTTTTTACTGTACCGGTATCACACAACATCCGAGCACTTTCACGCCAAGACCCAGCAAGCACCAAACCTTAGCGCCAAAGTGTCCTGCCAAATGGAGTAGCGGTTCATCTGATCTGGTTCAGACACCGCCTTCTGAGCGCAGCCCCTGCCGCACGCGACCGAAATGCGGACTAAGAGATAGTCTACCACTCGTAGTCTCTTTCTTTGGAGGGATAATTTAATGGTGCTTCCCCATTAGGGTTTCACTGCCCGAGCTGAAGAGGGAGGACGCGCATTCAATATGCTGCAAGTAAGGAGCTGTTTCTCACCCTAAATGTGTGGGTATGATATTACAGTATCTCAAACTTTCCGGTAAATATTATTAAGGCGATTGATATTTGATGATTCTGGATGGCAAACACATCGACTAATCGGCCCCTTTCCAGTGACAGACTGCTGGGCTACAGTATCATATGTTTCCCGGTACCTTCTTCAATAGGTTATCGGGTACGGCTCTTTTGCATACATTCCAAAGCGTTTTTAGTCATTCGGGCCAGGGCGCGTTACCGGAGGCCCTCCACGGGGACAGTTCCCCACCACGGGCACCGCACAGCTTTTACCAAGACTCATGCTGTGCCCCCCTCTCCAGCCCACCTTTAATTTACATATTATGCAGCTGAAATCAACAGTTGCCGTGCCTTGGCAGATCATGAACTTTCAACTCATACGAACAAAATAAGTCATGCACGGTACCCCGCGTTTGGTGTGGAAACCTCGATTCCCGTTCCAAGTCATCGTCGGTCTAAAATACGGTTACCCCACAAGATCATTATGACCCTGCGTCTTCACTGGAGGAACCTGGGACTTGGGGTTTGCAAGATCTCTTGCCGTGATCATTCATGGGGGCATCACATGGAGAACCCCTGCAGCCGTCAGATTCGGCGGTCATGATGGGAAGTCTCATGATCTCTACAGTGAGGTTAAGCTCGAGCCATAGTTGAGCTACAGGTGCGGATCTATACATAACTTTCGCATTATGAAAGGAAATCGCCTACGGCGCCGTAGCAGCCGTTACTAGTAATTTGGCTTACGCTACTACCATAGCATACTAGGACCGGTACGGGTACCGTGCTCGTACGATATCATGTCTTGCCGGCGCTCCTAGTACGGTACCCGTGGGGTACTAATGCGGTTGGGTAAGCAGTGTCGCCGGCTCGGGACCGGCCTCGTTACTTTGGGAGAATTCCAGATGCTTGAAGCTGTTCATTCGAGATCGGGAGCCCCCTGGATGCTTGTGGGCGCACGGCGAGGAGGAGGAGCTCAGGGACCCCATTATTGCCACCCTGTGTACTCGAGCACGGTACCAGTATCGTGGAGGCAAACCAAGAGACCGCTGTCTTTTTTTTTTTTTTTTTTTTTGCAATGAGGAGAAATGGTCCGCAGAAGGAAAACAAAGAGCTCTAGTCTAAGAAACACTCGACATACCGAGATCCGAGAGTTTTTTCAGCGCCTTTTTTCGTTTCGTCTTTTTCCTTTTTTGCGTTGGGTTTCTTTTTTCTCCCTCGATCCTTCCTTCCCTGTCAACGACGCAATTGACGAACACTAAGCTTTCAGTTGTTTTCTTTTTCCCGCGGCACATTTCGCAAGGTTCTGGGAAAGGCGCTTCTCTTCGTTTGTCCTCGGCGTTTAGCAGTTTAGCAACCCCTCAACGAGTATGATCAGTCGCATGGTGGGGAAATTCTTCGCGTACTCGAGTAAAAGGGGTACCGATGTGCTGTGGTTGCCTCGTTCCCATGTGAGCCTGTTACCGGTATTTTTGACGATCTCCTGAGCTCTAGGTTTTCTTTTTCGGCGGCTTGGCTGATGCTGTTGCTAGAGATCTCTGTCAAGCATCCGATCGCTACCGTTTTTGTATGCAGCTTGGAGCTCACCTCGAAATCCTCTCTCTCTCGCTGTTGAGTTCGACCATCACAATCGAGCGCTCTGCAGGTATGAAGGCATCTGGGAGTATCAGGATTTTATATCACTTGCGAGAAACTCGGAAGAGCAGCGAGCTTCCCGTGACCGCACAGTGACTAAGGTGTCACAGCGGACATCATCGTCATCCCAGGAGCACATGAGAACCCGCACACAAACTTCCGGAAGAGCGGTGACAACCCCGCATCCGTGCCAAAAAAAATTCTGCCGGCATCATATGGGGCGATATTTACCCTCACCTCCAAAAGCTCCCGCCGTTCCGGATTTCTTCCTTTTTCCAGGATAAATTCAGCGTTCGAATGCGCCCGTCGAGGAATTGTTTCAACGTATACTCGAGTAGACTATGTGAGGTGGAGCACGAGTACTTGCCCGGTACCCTCGCAATACCTTTTCCCAACAAAACAGCGCTTCAGGCTGAACGTTATCTTTTGTTATTATTCGGCTCAGAGATTATGCGGTGTAAACGGGAGCTTGTATGTGCCGAGTATCAGTAACATCTAGAACATTGTCAAGTCGTGGAACACTACCGGTTGTGTACGGTAGAGTACGGTACCGCACGGTCGACTATTGCTGCTCGTAAGAATTAATTTTTCATTGGTCACATGGCACAGCGTGGCTCATATTGTGATATTTGTGATTTTCGTGTGAAGCGTTTCTTTCCTTCCTTTTTTTCACCCTTCCTCGTTTACCGCATCTGGATAAGATCTCGGATTTATCCTCTGTGGTCCAAATCTCTATGACACGGGCATTGCGAAACCGTTTACAGCACAGGGCTGAAGCGGCCGCTCTCCTCCCACTTGCCCGCGATAGCTGAGCCGTACGGTAGGTGCGGCATCCTGAAGCGAGGATGGTAGAGGTCAAGCTGCTGGCTCCATGATACCCGCACGGTTCCGCCGAGAAATTACCCCCAAGACTGGGATACGGGATAGCCGAGGGCTGACGTTACCGTAGTATCAGTCAGCGGAGAGGAGCGACTTTGGGGACCGGAAAGACTTTTTAGAATGGGCGAAGGCCGTCATCGCTCACGCGATGGTCTTGGCGAAACCTGTATCACCACCACTGGAAATGCCTTCTTCCCTTTTTCCTCCTTCGTGCGTGCAGAGTGGAGTAGAAACCGCCAAAAGTGAGGAACAGTTCCGATAAGGGATATTGATTGGTCCCCAGTACTGAAGCTACGAGCACGAATCCCGGGACCATAATATCGTCCTCCTCTCCAAGTGCCGGCTCACACAATCCGACAATAAGAGATCATTTTCTGCTCTCCCCTGGCTGTTCGGATACCGTATCATCTCTGGCAGTGCCGGTAGCCTCCAAGACAAATTTTCTCCTTCAACTTATCATATTATTTCGTGTTCCGACAGGCTGCACTATCGGCCGCATACTGTGCAGTTTGCATCCTTCCTCTTCTTGCGCTTGCCCTAATCGCCGCTCGACCAATCACTGCACCCTGGTTCAATTGATCTTTTTTATCTGGTTCTCCTTGGATGGTGGATGGGATGCACGGGGAGACTATCTTTTTCCCCATCCGCCCTCTGCATACGGTATTATGGCAGCAGTCAAACTTTTTTTTTTTTTTTAATCTTCTGCTCGGCGCTTGACACGACACGCTGCTCTGTCTGATCACTACCACTACACCCTTCCTTGAAACCCGAGGAAAATG